TGGCTGGAATTGTAGAAGCAAATAGGAATATTCCATTCTGGAAGCCACTGAACAGCCTGATTGTACCCATCTGGCCAGGGCACTAACTACCCTTTTGCCAGGGATTTTGTTCTTTGTATATTGAATTAGAACCCCTGGGGTGTGGAGAGTCTTGGCAGGGGAGCTGAGCTAGGCTGCTTCCTCTGTGCATTTTTCCCCTGCTGTCTACAAGGACAGCTGGGATGTTACACGTTCATTCGCTCCCCGCAGCTCTCCATTTGGGAGAAGAGGAAGCATCTGGACCCAGGGAAGGAGAATCCTGAATTTGATGAGCCTTGTTTCTCTGGGTCTCCATTTCATTTCCTCACTGTGAGGGAATTAGACTGAATTTTTCCCAGATCTCCTGCCTGTGATGGGTTGTGTGGGATTCCAAGTGCACTTCCCAGCTAGTAGAGAAAGGTTGTTGCTGATTGGTTCTGTGTACAGCAAAGCTTCCCTGAGTGGCTGGGCTGTAGCAGAGGGTTTCTGGGACCAGAGGACAAATGAAATACAAAGAACCCTTAGTGTGGAACTCAGGATGGGGTCTGGGCAGGTGAGCACTCAAAGTGTGCAAGCTGACAGGTTTAAAGCCAGAGGACCAGGCTGGTAGAAACCTGGGAGCAACCCTTTTTACAAAGGTTACAAAAAAGCCCGGAAGGAAAGAAGTTGTGTCCCCCTCCTCTCCCTTCACACTGAGCTGAGCCCTAAGCTTTATCACTGCCCCTGGAGGGCTTGTCCTGTCCTGCCGCCTTCCCTTCCGTACTCCCATCTCACCTGTGCTGCCCGTCTGTAGAAATCCCCACTTACTTCTCCTCATGTCCCCTCTTCTAGTGCATACTCTCTCCTCCACCTCATATCCTTCCACCCACCCGCACACATGCACTAGTGCACGTGTGTTTATGTCCCAAAGGCAAGGGAGAGCAGTGACACACTGTGTTGGAGGGCTCCTCTACCCTCGGCCCTCCTACTGTTCATCAGTTTTCTGCCTCTGGTCTGGTTTCCCACCCCTCCTCTGTGCCTTGGTTTCCCCATTGACAGAAGGAAGTAATAACTCCTAACTCCTACCATGACAGCAAGTGGGGATCAAAAGAGATGCTATAGGAGAGTCTGGTCCGCTAAGGCACTCAGCAATGGATGGGCAGTTATCACTGTTAGTTCTCTTTAACCTGATTGTCTCAAATCCTCAGGCTCTGCACCTGATGGGATTGAGTAGCTTGTGAAGCACGGAGTACACAACCTGACGTGTGTGTCTGCAGAAACATTCACTTGTTCTCTTTGTCAGGGAGTGAGAGAAATTGACACTACCACTGGCATCCCTAAACTGTAACCAAAAAATGCATCATGTGGAGGGTGAGTGGCTGAGTTAGGACAGAGCAGGAATCCCACCATAGCTCACAGGGAAGGAAGCAAAAGCCCCTCTCAGAGAAAGGCACAACTTCCAGGAGCACCCACAGCTGGAGCAGGCAAAGGAGGAAGAAAGGCACAGTGCACCCTGGCTGCGCACCACACAGCATGGAGGAGAAGACTGTTTCAGCTGGTGGTGTCTGTCCAGGATAGAGAGAGATACTGTAGGTGACCCCTTCCTCCATCTCTGTGGCTGCCACAGCCTTCAGCCCTTTGGACACAGGGATGTCCAAAAACTGAAGTCCTGGAAAGGTGACTTTAGAGTTTGACATGCTGGATTCAAGTGCTGGATCTCCCTTATCAGCCATGGTCTTTGGAAAAAGTACTTGTCCCTTGACAAATTGGGGCCATAGCTCCCTCCAGAGCTGTGATGTGACAGTGAAATGAGGTGAGGTGCAGGAGAGCACTAGGTAAGGTGGAAGTAGCATATTTGCTACTTTCATTGCCAGTAATACAAAGTGGGGATGTGCCTCCTAATCAGAACTACACAGCTTCCCCCTGGAAGGCCTCCCGTGGTAGTCCCTGGGTTGATGGATTCCAAGGGCGTCTTATGAGGTGCAAAGCCCTTTGTAAGAGAATGGACCTCTGTCCACTTAGCACGGGAGAAACTGCTAGGACGGCTTGTCACAGGGCACTGATCACTTCTCTCCTGTGTCCCCAGAGGCTGGACACCTTACCTGTCAAGAGAATAAGTGGGCCTGTCCTTACATCCAGTGGAATAGTGTGATTTTACTCACAGAATGTTTCATCCAAAAATAACTACTTCGACAGCTTGCAGCCCAGTGTCCAGGTGGTGCAGTTTTGTTTGGATATACAGCCTAGGGATGTAGGGACTTTGGAAAGGTGAGGAATGTACTTATTATATCCATCATGTACTAGACCCAGATTTGTATAGGAAATGTCAAAGTTCCATCTCAGCCTTGCTTAGGCCCTGTGTTAAAACCAGGGCAGGCACCATGGTTCACACCTGTAATCCCAGGTACTTGGGAAATGGAGGTAGGGAGAATCAAGGTTGGAGGCTGGCCCAGGCAAAATGCAAGAGTCTATCCAAAGAATAACTAAAGCAAAAAGGGATAGGAACATGGCTGAAGTGGTAGAACACCTGCTTAGCAAGCTCAAAGCCCTGAATTCAAACCCCAATACCCCCACCCCCCCAAAAAAACCCCATGAAAATAAAATTACTGTCACAACATTTAATAGTGATAAGAAGGTGCTGCAGTGCTGAGCTACCCATGGGACCTTAAGTAAAGCCAGTCATTCTGTGGTTTCCAGTCTTCAGTCACCTGTATTTGCCTGAGTGGGGGAGAGACTCCATGCACCTTTCTGCTCGCAGATAGCTGGGACTTGACACCCAAGACAGTCTACTAAGCTCTTGTGGCATCCCAGGACTAATGTCTAACCCAGATGTTTGTTAATTTGGGCGTCCATAGATAGATTCCAGAGTGTGTCAACACCGTTATTGGATATAAAATGTGCATGTACCCCAAATCCACGTTCATGAAATTTTTAGGGAACCTGTGATCAGAGGGAAGTCAAGAACTGGTTTGTTCTCCATTTGGGAAGTCATCTATCTGGAGAAGTGAGGGACCATCCCGAAGGCCCTGCACATCCTGTGCTTTTGCTGCATCTGGAGACCTAGGGGCAGGAAGGGTTCCCAGTACCCAGTCCAGTGTTCTCCTCCATGGCCATGTCCCATCATGGACACTGGTGGCATGGCTACAATGGAAATAACTACTCCACGTCAGCTTCCCTCAGTCCTCCTCCATCCCTGCACAAAACCCTTCCCCAGAAGTATGCGAGGCGATACTAGGGGGCAGACAGTCTCGGGGCACACAGTTGCAACCCTGTGCCAATAGTTGGGACCCTGTGTCACCACCAGCATTTCGAAAGGACCCCATTTCAGCTCATAGTGTGCTCTATCCTTCTTGGCACAGATAAAGTGGGAGACTGTCTCCCAAGACTCCATGTAGTGTAACCTGTCACCACGTCTGATGTTGAAGGAAAACCCTCAGAGGAGAGTGCAGAGGTGGAGGGGACAACCTGCTGTGGCAAGGAGTGAATTTCTCTCCCTTCCCACCATCCTTGAAGCAAAAGTCTCCAAGAGATGTACAGCGGGAACATCGGGGTGTTTGTGCTAAGAAAGCATCCCACAAGCCTTGTATCTGAAACCAAAGTGACCTTTCTGAGCGGCCCCAGCCCTGCAAGAGAAGGCAAATACTACCAGATGGCCTGACATTTCCTTTTCAAATTTCATGCATCCCTGATTTCAATCAGCTATTGATCTATTCCTTTGCAGCCCCAGTGCAATTGAGTCACACCCCTGTTGCAGCCTTAAGGAAAACAACTGCTATGCACTCCCCACCCCGTGTTCCCTCCCTCTGCTTCCAGCCTACCCCTTGCTACCCACCCAAAGGCAGGGTGCAGAAAGGAGCATTTTTCTAAACCCAAAGTGAAAACAAGCTTCAGAGTTGACGTGTGTGCGCAGTACTGTCCACCTTTAAAAGATCACTTCTCTTTGCTCACTCCTTACCTGAAATCCTTGGCAGAAGCTTCAGGAAACCTGCAACAAGAGATCGGTTGCTCTGACTCCATTGCTCACCCCGGGTGCTGTGGAACTTAGTGGGACAGTCAGGTCACCTGGGCTAGGCGTGGAGGACAGGCAGCTGGGAGGCAGGCAGTTTTGAGGGGCTGCCTTTTGGGGTTCTGTGTTGGATGTGTCTCATACATAGCCCTCTCCCTGGGCCTGAAGAGTCACACAAGCCCTGGTGGGACAGGAGCTTCTGCAGTAGTGTCCCTTATTCATCCTTTGAAGAACATTCTGGCTCCAGTTACGCTGAGAGAGTTAGCTTGGGAAGGATTTTGGATGGGTTCTGGGTTGTCTTTTTGTAGCAGTCAGAACCCTGGTTCAGTTCCATGGTGAACGTCTGTTGGATCCCCTCCCTTTTCTTAATACTTAGTTCCTGTCTGTTGTACATGGGACTGAAATGTAAAAAAAAAAATTAAAAAAAAGAATTATCTTATCCATCTTTCATATTTTCCAAAAGGAAAGGTTAATTTGATTCTGCCTTTTCCTTTTTTGGGGGGTGGAGGTGGGGAGAGGAGAGCTGGGTGAAGGAGCTATGCAGCCCAGGATGGCCTCAAACTCATGATCTTCCTGCAGATTCCTGCATAATCTCCCAAGTGCTGAGATTATATAAGAGTGGGCCACTGTGCCTGGTTCCTTTCATTTAAGTTGAGAAACAAACAGCCTAGAACAGATTTAATGTTACCCTGAGTAACTCAGGCAAAGCTCTATGTAGAAGGAGCTGATTTTTACCATCTAAAATTCAGTCCACTCCATCCGTGTAATGGTGCTCTTCCCATTAAATGTAGGACAACTGGATAACCCAGCTTGCCCACGATACCTAATTTATGTCTGTCGTCCACTGAGATTAGTGCACTTTCATTCTCAAAACTGTCCCTTTGGATGATACTTTTTTTTTATGTAGTCATGCTAATTACAGGGAAGGAAGGGGAGGAAATGAGTTTCTGCTGAGTGGTCTAACCTTGTGCTCCTTTCTCTCTTTCCATCACCACAGCTCCACTTGGCAGCCCTGGCATCACTCAAGGGAGACATACTGGAACTGAATAAGCGTCTGCAGCAAACAGAGCGGGAACGGGACCTGCTAGAAAAGAAGTTAGCCAAGGCACAGGTAAGCGATTGCAAAGTTGTTTTGTTTTTTAACTTGTTTGTTTAAAGAGAAAACATTATATATATCATTTCCACAATTTCCACCTTACTGAGCAAACACTTAGTCTCTTTGCACTGCTGTAACAAACAACACTCTGGGACTGTCATTGCCTTAAACAGTGACAATACATTTCCCACAGTTCTAGAGGCTGGAAGTCAAGGTACCTGCCAGGTTGGTTCCTGGTCAGAACACTGTTTCTTGCTGGCTTATTGATGCTGCTTCCTCATGGGGTCCCCACTTGGAGGAGAGAATGAGAGTATCTCTGTCCTTTCTCTGCTTACAAAGACACTAATCCCATTCTTGATGAGAATCAGGAATCGTCACCTGGTCAGCTCCCAAAGCCCTCTTCTGATCAACCCCCTTGCATTAGGGGTTTAGGCTTCCACAAATGAATTTGGGGTGAACATTCAGTCCATAACACACACTCATGCCCACTGCCTGAGTGAGGAAATAAAATCTACCTGTCACCCTGGACACCCTTTCCTGTGCTCCATCCCACTATCTACACTTTCCCTCCCACAAAGGGAGCCACCAGCATGACTTTTGGAGTAATATTTCTTGCTGCTTCACGTTTCTCTCTCAAACTTGCATCCTTCAATTGTAGAATTTAGTCTTGCCCATTTAAAAACAAGGTGTTTCCTTGACATGGTTTTAAATCTACAGGTTTCCCCTGCGTTCTTTGTTGGCTTTTTCATTTGTGTGTCAAGCCTAGCCCCTGTGCCTGCAGAGTTTTCCCGAGAACCTACGTTTGCTGATTGCACACTTATTGTGCTGCTCTACACATTCCCACAGATCGACAGCTGCATCCAGAGGTGCAGTTGGTTCATGTCCCATTCCCTCCTCCAAACTGTAAAAAGTGTTTTCACTAGCAGGCCCCTGGTACCTGCTTGTTTCTCTCTCTGTTGCTCTGATGCTGGCTGCTGTTGATTCTTAGTACCTAGACTCACTACTCCATTAGGACTTTAAAAATTGTGTTTTAACCTATGATATTTCCAGGGATGCTTTTATAGGGAAATTTCTCATCATTTACTATTTGCTGAAATGATGCTATACTTCATAAAGGAGAAACTGAATACCATTTTTAACCGTTTTAAACATAATGAATTGATTCCCTGAAAATGTCCATTTATTTTTAATATTGTTATGAAAGTGCATATTATTTGTTTATCTGGGATTTGAACTCAGAGCCTCACACTTGCTAGGCAGGTGCTCTTACCTCTTGAGCTACTCTGCCAGTCCTTTTTATGTGATGGGTTTTTTTGAGGTAGGATCTCATGAACTATTTCCTCGGACTGGCTTTGAGCCACGATCCTCCTAATCTCTGCCTCTGGAGTAGCTAGGATTACAGGCGTGAGCCATCAGCACCTGCCTGAATTTGTGTATTTAGATATATTTGGATTTCAATGCATTACAATTATTTTTCTGATGAAAGCTCAAATTGTTCTGTCTTTAGTTACCGAGAACATCTCCAGGTTGGCTCCTGAGTCTTACGGCATAAACTGAGTAGAAAGGGCAGGCATCTGGACTATACTTCTTGCCCCAAACCTGGAATTAATCAATTCTTCAAGAAGCCATAGTTGGTCTCAGCAGGAATGATCTTTCCAGACCATTGTTGGGCTACTCAGGATGCTTGTTGTTTCCAGGTTGTATTTATGCCTCTTTTGTAGACAGAGCCCAGAAGTTATTTATCAACTTCTGTACATGGGTATGGTTTTATATATGCTTAAAATTTAAGATAAGCTGTTTTAGGAGGAATTCATATGGACACTTCCAGTGCAAATATTTTTATGTAATTTCTGTATTTTAACTGCATCTCCTTTCCCACGAAAACTCTTGGCTCTTACAGTTACAGCGCTAGTAGAATTAGGGTGTTCCATAATGGTTCCCTGTATCACATGTAATATGCAGAATCTCCGAGGAATAGTATGAATTACCTCTATAACCAGCACGGTCTGGAGAAGAGTGTGAACTTTTCCTCATGTACGCTCCTTATTTCTTCAGGTTTATGTAGTTCTGTAACTCCATCGATCCTGCTGGCCACGAGGTCACTGCATCTCATGCTCTCTCACTTTCAGTCACCATTTATTTTGTCCTGCACAAGTAACTGTTCAATGTTCACCAGGAGTCTTAGATCACTGTCCCTCCATTGTGAATGCATTAATGTATTTGTTTTGCCTGGAGCTTATTTTCTGGTTGGTTCCTCCAAGTGGACTCGTGGGAATAATTTCCCCAAAGTTCTTGCGTGTTAATAAGAGCGTGTCTGTCCCCTTCATACTTGAAAGCACTAAGCCGGATATAAAACGCTTGGCTCATCTTTTCTTTCCTTGAATATGTTGCTGTATTTTCTTTTGTTGTGTAGTGTTGCTGTCAAAGACTGACAATGATCTTTCTTTCCCTCACAAGATATGTGATTACTCTAGATGTCCAAAGGTTTCCTTCCTCTTCTTCCCAGCTTCCTTTCCCCCGCCCTTTCTTTTTTTTGTTGTAATTTTACTAGAATAAGTCTTCATCATTCTAGCTTGATATTGTCAGATTTGCTGTGTTTGTTTCCTTCCTTCCTCTCTCCCTCCCTTTCTTCCTCCCTCCCTCTTTCTTCCTCCCTCCTTCTTCCTTCCTTCCTTCCTTCCTTCCTTCCTCCCTTCCTTCCTTCCTCCCTCCCTTCCTTCCTCCCTCTCTTCTTCCTCCCTCCCTTCCTTCCTTCCTTCCTCCCTCCCTCCCTCCTTCCCTCCCTCCCTCCATTCCTTCCTTCCGACTGGGGTTTGAACTCAGGGCTTTGGTCTTACAAAGCAGGAGCTCTACTACATGAACTATGCCTCCAGTCCATTTTGCTCTGATTATTTTGGAGATGGGGTCTCATGAACTATTTGCCCAGGCTGGCCTTGGACTATGATACTCCTGATCTCAGCCTCCCAAGAGCTAGGTCAGCTGCTGTATGTTCTTTTGATGATATTTTGTATTTTTTAAATTTTGGGGAATTTTAAGTAAATGACATGGCTTAATGTTAGTTCTATTCTCTTGCTTAGTTCAAGGACCCCATCACTTGTGCATTAAGTTGTTTTTGCCTGTCTGCAAGGTCTCATCATCTCACGTCCTTTATCTCTCTTTGTAAAATGTTTTCTCTGTTCTCTACTTTCTGCTTCTCTTTTTGAAACAGAAATTTCTATGTTTTCTATTCCTCTTTTGTGACTTCTAGTCTATTCATTTCTGAAATGCATTTTTAAAATTTTCTTTCTGATTCTTTTTTGAATTCTGTCACCTCCCTTCTCAATTTTTCTAATTCTAAATTATGTATATTTAAGTCTCATGTCCTTAAAGTCTTAGTTTATTTTTAAAATAGTGACTATTGTTTAGGGCATTTTGGAGAGAAGGGGGTCCATTTTCTGGACTTATGTTTTAACATGCACTTATGTTTTATCACCATGTTAAATTTTCTCTCTCAGCATTATAACTTAGTATAGGATTTGGCTTCAACACTTGCTGGTTTTTATTTTTATGTGAAAAATAGTTTCCTTGAACATTTAGGAGGCAGATTTTAAAGGGCTTTTTAAAGGCCATAGAGTTTAACCTTATGTTGTTTTCTCGAAGTCAAAAACATGGCGTCCTGCTTTCTTCCTGGTTCTGTTTCTCTCACCTACTTTTTTTGTCTTTCCCCCATCACAAGATCTTGCCCATGCTGGCCTAGAACTGCCAGGCTGGTTTCCAACTCATGATCCTTCTGCCTCAGCCTCTCGAGTGCTGGGATTGCAGGCATGCACAGCTGCTTCCAGCTTCTCACCTACTGTGTTGTCTGAATCTTTTCTTTCCTCTTTTCTGTTATCCTCATCCTGTTCAGTTTTGATCCTATTCCCAACTGAACCATGGGAAGGTTTCCTGGAAGGGAGCCCTGGGGCCTGGAATGTTCCTCCTCACTTACCGGGCCTTCTTGCATTAGGCATAACTGTGCCTGGTTTTACCTGCTGTTCTCCAAATGCACCACTTACTTTCCTTTGAACACGTACTGGTTATTTACGACTTTCCAATACTAGGTTCTACCAACCTTGTTCCATCTGATTCTGCTTGCAGAGACACCACTTAGATCTAAGGTATTGCTTTGTCCTTGTCTGGTAGTGTTTTGTTGTTCAGGGAGACACTGGGTCTCCATGCTTTTGGTTTTGCTATGTAGATCAGGTTTGCTAGGTAAGTCAGGTTTATTTTTAGGTGGGAATTCAGAGAGGTTAAGAAAGACAGGTTTAAGCTATATGGCTCAAGTGGTAAAGCACCTGCCTGACAAGTGTGAGACCCTGAGTTCAAATCCCAGTACCACCAAAAAAAAAAAAGAGAGAGAGAGAGAGAGAAAGAAGAAAATCAAGTTTATTTTTTAAGAGGAACTTTAAAAGTTTCAACACCCCAGAGACCACCACTGATCCATTATATTGTTGTTTGTAAAGATCATTCTGTCACTATTTTACTATTTTTAACAAGGGAAATTTTCCTTTAAGTTAAAAACAATTTTTGGTGTTTAACAGCCATCTCTTTAGAATGGCCTTCGGAAAGTTTTTGATACCTCTCCTGTGTCATAATCACAGATGGTTTGAGGGCCAAATCTCTGCCCCCATCAGGCACCCCAGGGAAATTAACCTGCTTAGTGCCCAAGGTCAAATGAACAACTTAGCAAGGTCACTAGTGGCCTTTCTCACCATAGGACAATATACCAAACATTTTTGGTTTTTACTTAGGTGAAAATTTTACTTAAAGTATTTCCCTTTTGATTATAAAAGTAATAAAAGTGACAGAATAGACTTGAACATAGCATTCTAGTGTTTCAGTGGTGGCCTCTGAATTAAAACTTTTAAAATGTCTTTTAAAAGAGAAAATGATTACTCTTGTGTTAAATCTCAATAAAATAATGTCAAATGACTGTATTCGAACTTACCCCCATTCGAGGCCAATCATTGCTCATAGTTCCTTGTAATGAGAAATGT